CTCTGACGTTGTTGAACGGCCACAGCAAGTCGGGCTTCATCGCCAGATTGTTTTTGAGTGAGAGAAAGACAAAAAGAGACTGGCTCAGCCAAGGTACGCCGAGAGAACCAAACGCCTTCGGTCTCGGTCTAGCCTTGAAAGCCACGATTTCAACATACTGTATATACTCCTAGGTATCGTGCCCATCTCCACCAAAGGGGGCCAGGAAAACCGCAGAGGACGACTTTCATTTGGAGACAAGAGACAGCCAGACCGGGACGGACTGGAAGCGATGCAAGGCTACCTTTTCGTAGTAGTCAATCATTCTGACCATGCATTTCACGACACCAATGAGAAAAGGCTCTCTCCGCATACTACCTTGAGTTGGGCACCACTTACACCGTCGCTTCGCTTCGCTTGCTTCATTACACTCCATTCGCGTCCTCGATCAAACGTTCGACTGGCAGCCCGTGAACGTAGTCGTGTACTCCATAGTCTAACTATGGACTTTTGTTGTTGGATCAAGGGTTAGCAAGCTTCTCTCTCTCTCCGTCTCTCCGTCTCCTTCACCCATGCGACGGCCGCCCCGTCCCATCCATCACCGTTGCCTCTGCTACTGCCACAGTAGCGTTTTTGGCTCAGCAACTGCGACGGCTAGTCTAGATGTGTGTGGTTCTTTTCTCGCCCTACCTCCTGCTTTTCTCTCTGGCGTGGCAGGATCAACAACCACATCCTCATACACACAAAGGAAAGGAAACAACCGCAACGTTGGTGCTCACTTTCTTTGTTGTAAAAGAAAATGCCGCCCCGCCGGCTGCCCGCGCAACGGTAATCGAAGCCGCAACCGCCACGTCGGCCGCGGGAAGGCGAAAAGCCTCTTGTTGAATTGTGATATTATGATTGACTCTGCGAATACGTTTTGTTGAACTACTTCTTCTTCTTCCTCTTCTTCTTCATCTTCTTCTGCTGCCGCTGCTGTTTGAACCGACCCTTGCCTTGCCTTGCCCGTCTCTTTACTGGCCATCACACTCTTTTGCTGTTCCCGGTTTCTCGTGTGGTTTCGATTACTACATTCTCGACGTTACCTCGACTCGCTCTTTTCTCTACGCCTACGGTTTGGACAGGGGGGCACATCGTCTTCTCATCGTGGTTTTCTCGCGTCTTTTTGGGAGCATGCAGTCTGCCATCACGCACATTTACGCCCGCTAAGAAAAACCTCAACCCACCCTCCATCACCGGCAGTCCAGTCATACCTTGCGTCAATCGTCTGTCCTTCGCAAATCGCTTGACCGCTGTCGACATCTGGGCCCAATTGTCTGTGTGCACATCACATCGCCATCTACGCCGACGCCATCACACACATCACACAGCACATACACACACACACACACCTTCTTTTGATTCTCCAACACGTTCAACAACCTTGTTCATCATCTTGGACCCGGACTTGGCTGGAGCTTTTCGAGATCTCCTCACTCTCACTCTCTCTCGGCCCCCCTCCGCGTTATCCCACCTTTTTGGGACCTCTTGCTGGCAGTTTCTTCGAAGCTTTCTCCCCAGCGACTGTGCTTCCTCGCCGAGAGGACAGACCCCCGACTTTGTCCGTTCGTTAGGGAACTGCGGCCGTGGCTTGCGGAACCTCCACCACCACTCCCACCACCAGAGCAGACCAGCGCCAGCGACGCAGCAGCAGCAGAGAGACGTCGTGGAAAAAGAAACGCTCCTCACATCTCATCTTCAACACCGCTCGTCCTCACCTCACAGACGCGCTCCCCAACCGTCACCTCAGCCCTGCTCATTCTCCATCCAAACCAGCACCGCTTTCCCAGGGTCCCCCTCACCAAAAGTCATCACCAACCAGTTTTTATTTTTTGTTCATTCCTTCTGGTGCTGTCATACCGTACAGTGCAGTATCTACATACAGTACCATACCCGTCTCTCTCTCTCTCTCTCTCTCTCTCTTTTTTTTTTTTTGTTTTTTTTTTTTTGTATCAGATCTCTCTTCCTTCTTTGCAACATAAAGCAAACTTACCCCCTCTTCTCATACACCTTGCCAACGATTACCTCCACGGGCAGGCGATCTGAGAGGAGAATGGAAACTAGAGGCCCTTGCTACCGGCATACCTAGAGCGTCTCATCATTACTCTGCCACCTCGACTCGTCACATCGGGGCCTTGTTTCTTCTTGAATGCTTTTCGAGCTGTGTACATCTTGAGGGTCCATTGGCCTACGGATATCACTCCCACTCATCACCCGTTTTCCCGCCTCCTTGCCCTCAGGTGCAGTTGAACTTGCTCGGACACTGGGGTTGTGCGGACTTCTCGGTCCCGGCATATAGCCAGCGAACAGCAGCAGCAACAGCAAAAGTAGACATCATTCAACCTGCGGGTGTGTGTTTGTGCGCTTGCAGTTTCTCTTTCACTCAGTCATTCCCCTCAACTCAAATTTCCCATCCGCCGAATACAAGCCCGCCAGCAAACATCTATTCCTTTCAAATTCTACTACTCCTTCTATCCCGTTTTCCGGACAGTCAGCCAGAAAAAAACGTATAATATATTTATATCGAGGCTATTCCGTTTTGAACGTCTGCGACCTGACGCACAGAACGACTACCTACTCCCCCGTTCTAAGGATCGCCACGCCCGCAGGGCCGTCCGCCATCTAAGTCTGGCGCGTGGTTTCTCCTCTCGGTTGATCTAATCAATTTCTGTAGCAAAACCAGGCCGGCCCTACCTTGCCTGCCAGCGCTCGAGCGTCTCCCACACCAAGACCCGCTGGCGAGGACGACGCCGGTTACGGTACATGCCAAAAGTCACTCGACCTACCTTACCCTTACCCTCCTCTTCCTGGTACTCCTCCTCCTCCCTCACTCCCACTACCCTACCCTACCCTACCGGTACCCCTGCCTTGCCTCTCCTCTCTGTTACCCGTCTGCACCGTCGAAAATAAGAAAGGGCCCAATCGGTACTACCTCAGGTACCTAGGAGCGTACCTCACTCCACGCCTCCACAGCTCTCCTATCCCCCTGCTCAGAATCCATACCTCGTTCCAGGGGCCCCTGGAAGAGCAGCCTGCCCGCTCCAGCAGAGCAGAGAAGCACCACTTCTTTTTGAATGTAATGCTATATTGCTGCCGATAATATATACCTTCATCAGACGCCTCACGTCTTTCGCTCATAAAGCAACGCCTCCACGATAATCTTGGACTGGCCTGCCTGCGATCGTCTCCCTTCTGCCCCTTGTAGTATAACAAAGCGCCACGGCCTCTCACATACACCAACGACACGCACGCAACTGCACCTCATCTCAACTTCCCACATTGTTTCGTTTCTTCAGCCAAAGTACGCTGTTGCGTTTGGACTCGTCTTGTGCCGGGCATATCCCACTCGTCCTTGTCGTTCCTGAGGATAAACTACATTCAAACCAACAAGACCGTATCGTCACCGTCGTCATCCTTCATAAGTCGACTAAACAACAAATAACAAAAACACCAAATCTGTCGTTCACTCGCCAGTTCTCCACCACGACACACACTACTCGACTCTCACCACAGACACCAAGGTTTCTCCATTCCCGGCTCACCGTCGTCGACACTTGCAACATCCTGGCATCTCCCAAAGTAGCCTCACCACACACCACGAGAATAGAGAGAGAAGAGCCTCAGACGTCCTTCCTAGTACCTTCCTTCGGCCCCCCACTTGGGTGATTCTCGCGGTCCGTCTGTCTAGACCATCTTGCAGTGGATCCTCTTCACCTTCGGAGACCATCAAGAGCTCTGTGCACACTTCTGCGCGAGTCGTTGAAGAGAAGCCAGACGAGAAAATAGAAGCAAGGAAGCTGCCGGTAGAAGACTCGAGTCTGTTTCTTGTCATCCAGACACCCCTCAAGCAAGAAAACGACGCCAGTCGTCCAAGATCCGCTTGGTCTCCCGTACCTGAGCGCTCAGAGGTTCGACGATCGCATTGTTCCTGGTGGTCACCATTATGCTTCTAGTCTCGGAAACTTAACACACGCCGGCCCTCGACACTTGGACTTCGAAACAAAATACACGGCAAGCCAGCCCGAACTTGGTTCACCCTTCTTATCTCATCCGCCGCCCGAAGAAGGGATTGTCCTGCAAGCAACATCAGCACTTCCCACCAGTTTGCGCTCGACCACTCGCAACAGATCCTCCAGTCAGGTGGCTAATTTTCATCGAAGACGGAGAATTTTAGTGCCTGTGCACCAGGACCCTCCCACCTTCTGGTACGTCCACACTTGTGGCTGTCTTAAAGAAGGCTACTCCCACCCGCTATGAACTCATTCTACCTCCTGGCCTTCATCAGTTCGTCGTACCTTGGGTTATCTTGAGCTGATCGTTTCCTACCAGCTTCACTCCCCTTCCTCTCTCATACTACTTACTACCTTACTCTCCTTCTCACACACCTTAATCTCCATCTCTTTCCCTCAACTCAAGAGGAGTGTCAGCTTCCCCGTCACAGCCACCACGCCTGATTAATACCAACACCCCCGACCAAGCTCAGGCCTCTTCTTCTTCCTCCTCATCTTCTTCTCTCTTAAACACCGTCCGTCCGTCCTCCTCTTCCATTGTTCAACGTTCCTGAACGCACCGTCGTCTTCAACGCTTCGAACACTGCTCATCTTCGGCAACCTTGCGCTGGACGCCGCACCCGTTCTTGTCTCAAGTCGTCGACGTCCTACTTCTCGGCACACATTCACCACCCTTGCCTTCTTGTCCCAACCCATCATTCCTTGAACGACGATTCGGGAGTCTGCATACACAGAACCCGCATTGAGCATCCCGCTTAAGCAACGTTCCGAACCAGGATAACATATCACACACATCAACCCACGCTACCCTTGCTTCTTCTACTCCGGACACCATATCAGCCCAGTCCCTTCATCACCCGATAATTCAAGACACCTTTATACCTCGCCGCGGAAGTATATAAGTAGTACAGCTACTGCACTGGTCCGCATCTTGGTAATCCCCATCCAAACACACAAATAAAACCCAAAGAAATGGAACTCATGGAGCTTGTCGAGAACGAGCCCACTGCTCGCCCCTTCCAGTGCGACTGGCAGTCGTGCAACAAGGTGAGTCCAGAAACACGCCGCCACTCGGCTACGGCTGTGGTGTGACATGGACGGATCTAACTTGGACATCTTGTAGAGCTTCAACAGGAAGTCCGATTTGCAGAGACACTACCGCATTCACACCAACGAGCGTCCCTACTCCTGCACAACGCCCGGCTGTGGCAAGAGCTTCATTCAACGGAGTGCTCTGACTGTCCACATCCGTACTCACACGGGAGAGAAGCCTCACCAATGCCAGCACATTGGTTGCGGCAAGCGATTTTCTGATGTATGATTTCCTCCTGACAGCGGCATGTTCCAACAGGCACTAACCTACGAAGTCTTCGAGTTTGGCCAGACATCGCCGTATTCACACTGGCAAACGCCCTTACAAGTGCGCCCACGATGGCTGCCTGAAGAGGTAGATCTCTAGCCACCAGGCTTTCCCTCCACTTGACGGAGTTGACACTAATCAACTGAACAGCTTCTGCCGCAAGACCACAATGGTCAAGCACCAGAGGAGATCTCACCAGCGCGGCCTCCACCCCAACGAGCTCTTGGACGACTGCACATCAGACTCCGACAGTGGCGAGTCTCCTTCTACCCCGAAGCACGCCGGCATGCAGTGGCCTCCTCAAGGCGTCATGGCCATGAACCACCCCGGTATGGGTCACGCAATGCACCGAGCTGCCTCATTTGCCGACTTCGGCCAGCACATGAACGGTTACCCTATGCCCCAGCAGCAGCAACAGCAACACTACGGCGCGCACCGCCACAGCCTTTCTTCCGGCGGAGCACACGAGGTCCACGGTATGGTACACGACCAGCAACACCCTGGTGTACACATGCTGCAGCGAACCGCCAGCATGGGCCAGCACTCGTACTACGTGACGGAGCAGGGCAACCCGGGTGTCGCTACCATGAACACGGCCATGCCCCAACAATACGGACAGGTGCCCCGGCAACAACAGCCGCAGGTTGATGTGCCGTACTCTCAACCTGGTATGAACCAATCCATCCAAAGCAGCCCGAGCAGCTTCTCGGCAGCATCGGGTAGGAGCCCATCCATTCAGGAAGGGTTTTATACTCACCAGCCAACCCAAGCAGCCACATATGCCCTGCATCATGCCTCCCCCGTCCTCGAGCAACAGCAAGCCGGCATGGTCGCGTACCCGCACCAGCAGATGCAACAGCAGATCCATACCCCCCAACCGATCCCGACTCAGGCACCGCAGCCTCCGCCTCAGCAAGTCAGCCAGTATGCCTCACCGGCACCCCAGGCCCAACCCGAAGAGTACTGGAACGGCGTTCCGTACCAGGCACCGGTCGAGGTTGCAACAATTGGCCAGCTGCCGACCTACGGCTCCGGCGTGTACGACCCTTGGGGTGGCCCCAAGATCGAGTTCGAGGATCCCTCGATGCAGCTCCCGTCCGCACGGATCGAGAACATGTAAGCGCCAGACACCATCCGACGATGGCTTCCGCCACGCCAGGCATCTGTGCCTTCCGATACCAAATCATCATTTCCATCGGTGCCTCGTCTCGGCGCCGCTTGCTGTACCACCACCGGAAATTTTGACGTCGATTTGATTTTACCATATTCCCCCACCTCGTTGATTGAAAAAGAAGGAGATACCACGCGGGCTCCACAGAACCGAGCTGTCGATTGTTGAAAAGAAGAGGATGAGCCTTTTGGACGCCTCTAGGCCCAGTGCCCCGCCACGCCTGTCATCCCTCCCTTAGGGCAGTCTCAACGGGCCAAAAGGGATCCAGACGAAGAGAAACACAAGGAACAGAAAATGTCAAATCAATCCCCCAAAAGCATACATCAAGTTGGTACTCTGTTTTCTGGGTTTCAACACTCACCCACAACCCACTGCCGGCATACTTCGCAATGCCGTTTGTAATCGTCAAATTTGTCGAAAAGGGACGATCGCTGGATCTGTCGCTTCTCCCGCCTCGATTTACTCCGTGGCTCTTCGCCTTCGGGCACCATTTTCTTTGTCAAGCACATACTATTACCCCATCGACTTGGAATATTTGCATCTGTTTTCATCCGGGATATATCATTGGTGGTCTTTCTGTCGCTTCGAGTTTATAATTTCGTCTTTAGTCGGTCGGGTACTCGTGGGGTTTTTGGAGCTTGGTACGGCGGTTTGTGCTGTCTTATTTAATATTTTCTTTTACAGTTCTTTCACTCCTTTCTCATCGGGGCGTTCATCGACCATGTCGACTGAACATGTTCCCGATGATATGATACAACGAAAGCATAACAGCCGGAGCCGGTCGGGCGGATGGGGGAAAGCCACTGGCATGTTGGGAATCATTGGACGATATCCGAATCTTGACGGCCCTTTTACGACCTTGGTGGAGAGGGTGAAATCGCATGGGGATGGGAGGAGCAGGACAATAATGAGGATGGAAGGAGGTTCAGGGTAAAAGGGAAAAGGGAAAGAAAGGGGACCGTCATTCGATGCCTGATATACGAAAGGCTCGGTCGGGTTTGGCAGCTTTGGAATTTCTCCGTTGCTTTTTCTCAAGGCCTCACGGCGCGACCCGGAAAACAAAAACATTCCCTGTAACAACAACAGCACGGAGTCGACGAATTCTCCTGTCTGGTGGTGGGCGGCGCATTCCCTAGAACAGATTCCTCAGGGGAAGGGTTGACGAAGAGGGAACAACCGGGAAAAGGAGGAAATGGGGGGCCATGAGGAGGAATAGGGGACGACGAGTCGTTGTGCATATGTAATTTTATGTGTTCCTCCCCTTGTGTATTGTGTGCTGGATTCAAAGGGGAAATGAGAAACAAATGGGATAGTTTTGGGAATTGATACCTGGTCAGTCAGAACGGAAAGAAATAAAAGACTTTGTTGATCAAAATCTCGCGGTCCAAGTCGTCTCTTTATATGATCATGAGTGGATGAGTGGGATGAGGAGAAGAATGGCGAAAAGAATTGGCCGAGGCTAAGAAGGGGGACGCATGACCAGAAGACGAGCTGATGGGCTCTTAGCTCTTAGCCTGTGTAAGTCAAAACTTTGAGAGTTATTTAGCTGTTGAACCGGTGACACGTTGCCTTGCAGAAGCGTCTGCTTTAGTTCAAGGGGTGTCTGCATGATTGTTCGTATTTGTTGGTGTTGGTGTCGGTGGTAGTGGTGTTGAGATTCTTTGGTTCCGATGGGTAAATTGTTTGCAGCCTGAATTGGGAGATTCGGTCGGGTAAGGGTGAGATGAGATGCGTGAGGGTGGTGATAAGAGACGGCGTTGTAAGTCGTGCGCTTGGGAGGACAGGACGGGCTATTCTGGTAGCTGGGGATGCAGATCGTCTGAGATGGTGAATGGAGATGAGAGCTGAACTGAGTTGAGCTGAATAGATGTATTGATGGTCTTGGCATTTCATGGCTGTTTTTCTTCTTCGGCCATGGAGGTCTTTTGAGTCGGTAAAGAGGAGGATTGAGTTATCGTCCCGTGTGACTGGCGACGAAGTGTTGGATGCTTGAGAGACGAAGAGCTGGAGGTTTGTAAAGGTATAACTGGGGGATTCTATAGAAAGTTTGAGCCCGGATGATCCGCTCGTGAGATGCGCTGATCTCCGGGATATCCGCGCTACCCAGTGATGCTCATATCAGGTGTGAAAATATGAGAGACCGTCGCAGCCTCGTGAGTTTATTCTTCGCCCGGTGCTGCTGATGTGAGAAATCGGTGGACGGTGCTGACGGAGATTTCAAGACCCGGCTTCGTTGAGAAGGGAAGAAGAAGAACGGAGGAAGAGAGGGAGGTTTGCTAATGGATGATGGGAATGAGGGAAATGGGCGAAGAAGGAGGGCGTTTACAGTTACCAACTCATGGGGGAAAGGGCGCTTAATCCAAAAAAATTGATCTGCAGTTGTTTGCTCTGCATGCGGAAGAATGCATCCATTTCCATTCCTCAGCCAGCTGCTTCTGGCGATGTGTTTCTGGGGGTCTGAATGGGGAGAGAGAGGGAATTTTATGATTGGCTAGAGCCTTATTGGCCAATCATGTTGCTTATTTCCGACATCCTGGGAGAGCATATACTGACAGAGGTGACTTCGCACCGGAAATCCGCGAGAGATGGAGAGTCTTTCTAGATTGAATCAGATATTAAATCCAGAAATAATGAAACATCGACACTGGGATTCTGGTCAACTCGAGGTCAAACTACGATCACCTTCAATGCTGAGAGAGAGAAACTGGTGTAGTTGAACTTCTGATTATTAACCAATGACATGAGGTTGAATTATGCCCCTGCTCGTCTCCAATGGACCCCAAAGGCTTTGTCATCATTCGCCGGATCGGTCTTTCCCTGGCACCGACAAGTCGCGACATTCTAGAATCTCATCGACGTCACGTGGAGTATGGACCTGGGCCTTGTTGCTTTCCCCGGTCGCGGCGCTTCGGCAGGGAAAAACTCGGAAGGCAGCACCGCAATGTCGTGGTCAATGAATAACGTCAGCTAAGGTATCCGTAGCGCATTTCGCCTCAACGTATCCATATCCCGCCGCCCCGTCGCCGCTCTCAACAAGACGACGAGTCAACCCTCGGCGCGAACCATGTCATCTTCATCACACCTGCACATACGACGTCGATAGTAACTGAAGAAGCCTTTTCTTTTCTTTTCCCTTTCCCCTTTTCGGTCTCGTAAGGGGAGTGCCCCTCTGCAGAACCCTTTGTTACGATCACCAACTCGGCATCAAGCAAAACCATCTGCTCTGACGAATACGCGCTCCAGCCTACACCGCGCCTTCCCGGCTACCCCAAAGGCATCATGGCCTTACGCCCAGCAGCGCTGGCGCTAAGTGCGACCAGCCCACTGCTCCGACGGGCAACGATGCAGCCCGCGACGATGCAATCCGTCCTCCGGCTCGCGACCTCCGCTCGCCCGACCGCCACCGCCTTCACTCGGACCCCCGGCCTGGGCCTCGCCCTCCAGCTCCAGCAACAGCAACATCAGTACAGACTCTTTGGAACCAACAATGCCATCTCGCGCAACCTTCTCGCCACGAGAGAGTCGGCAGCGAACAGGAACCCCGGCAGCGCGACCGCGCAGAACGCATTCTACCAGCTCCTCCTCAAGGCCAACATGCCCGCCATCGTCATCGAGCGCTACAACTCTGGCCGGTTCGCGAGAAACGATGCGGTGGATCAGGCATATGCGCAGGCGATTGGCATGCAGAGCACCGGCGCCGTCGGCGGGATGGGTGGTCACGACCACCTGCCCTCCGCCTTTGGCAATGTCGGCACGCTCGGCGGCCAGGAGTTGAACCAGCAGTCCCCCGGGAACCTGAGCCAGGCGCAGCTGCAAGCTGTTGGCCAGGCTCTGGCTGCGAGGTCGCGCGACTCGAACATGGCTACCGCAAAGGTCCAGGGCAATGGCCTCCCGACCAGCCCGCTGCACGTTGTTGTAGACGAGTCATTCGGTGGCGTCATCTTCCGCTGGGTCAAGTTCGTCTTGTGGTTCTGTCTCTTCACGTATCTCAGCTTGGTCGTCGTCACGATGCTGGTCGAGGGTCTCAACCTCTTCAAGCGACCCGGTGGCAAAGTGGACAGCGAGGCCAAGGCCGAGAACCAGACTACCCGTTTCGCAGACGTGCACGGCGCCGATGAGGCCAAGGATGAGCTCCAGGAGCTGGTCGACTTCCTCCGCAACCCCGACAAGTTCTCCACCCTCGGCGGCAAGCTTCCCAAGGGTATCCTGATGGTTGGACCCCCCGGTACTGGTAAAACTCTCTTAGCCCGCGCCGTTGCCGGTGAGGCTGGCGTCCCTTTCTTCTACATGTCTGGCAGTGAATTCGACGAGGTCTACGTCGGTGTCGGTGCCAAGCGCGTCCGCGATCTCTTCGCTTCCGCCAAGTCCAAGTCTCCCGCCATCATCTTCATCGACGAGCTCGACGCCATTGGTGGACGCCGCAATACTAGGGATGCCGCCTACCACAAGCAGACGCTCAACCAGCTCTTGACGGAACTGGACGGTTTCGAGCAGAACAGCGGTGTCGTCATCATCGCTGCCACTAATTTCCCGGAACTTCTCGACAAGGCTCTTACCCGACCTGGACGTTTTGACCGCCACGTTACCGTTCCCCTGCCTGATGTACGCGGCCGTATTGAGATCCTCAAGTACCATGCCAAGAAGATCAAGGCTGCCCCCGAGATCAACTTTGAGGCCATTGCTTCCAGCACTGGCGGCCTCTCTGGTGCCGAGCTCGAGAACATTGTCAACCAGGCCGCCGTCCGCGCCAGCAGGCTCAAGAATGCTGCCGTCTCCATGACGGATTTCGAGTGGGCCAAGGACAAGGTCATCATGGGTGCGGAGAAGAAGAGCATGGTCATCAGTCAGAAGGAGAAGGAGATGACTGCCTATCACGAGGCCGGTCACGCCTTGGTGTCTTTCTACCATGAGAGCGGTCCCAACAAGCTTTACAAGGTTACCATTTTGCCTCGCGGCCAGAGTCTCGGACACACTGCACACCTTCCTGAGATGGACAAGTATTCGTACACGACGAGGGACCTCAAGAGTCTGATTGAGACCTCTCTGGGCGGAAAGCTCGCCGAAGAGCTGGTCTATGGCACCGACAAGGTGACCACCGGTGTCTCAAGCGTAAGTTAACCTCGACATTGACTTGTGGGATTGGCACTAACAGTAAGCAGGATCTCAAGAATGCCACAAACCTGGCTTTCCAGATGGTCGCTCTGTACGGCATGTCTGCCAAGCTCGGCCCCGTGGAGTACGGCGAGCGCTACAACCAGCTCAGCTCAGAGACCAAGGCTCTCATCGAGTCCGAAGTGCAGCGTACCTTGACGGAGTCATACGAAAAGGTGCGCGAGCTGCTCACATCAAGGCGCAAGGAGCTCGATCTCCTGGCCAAGGCCCTCGTCGAGTACGAGACGCTGGACAAGAACGAGGTAGAGAAGGTCATTCGCGGCGAGAAGCTTCTTGACCGCACGCCCATGCCTCAAGGCCCTATGAAGGTGCCTGCAAGCTCGGGCGTTGATATCGGTCAGACGATTCCCCCGCCGTTCCCTCCTCCTACCGGACCCGCTACGCCTCCGCCGGCGCCACCGCCACCTGCGACTTCTACGGGTGGCATCGCTCCTGGATCCAACCAGAAGTCATGACCGGAGCTTACCGTACGTGACTCTGGTCAGGACCATTATCAACACATTTTGTTTTCACGGTTAGCATGCGGTAGTGCGAGGGCCGAGTCGCGGCCCGTTGGGAGGCACTCGCATGGACTTACAATGTATCATTTTACGGTACAGCATGGCAGGCGTTTACCAGAAATTAAAGAATTTGCGATTTCATTTGCCTTTTGGAGGATAACCAGGAAAAACGAGACAGGCCTGGCTTTGGCCAACACAGCTTGGTCAACGTGCTACTGGCCAAAGGCGAAGAAAAGCAGCAGGGTCTCTCGTAAGATCCGCTGTGCGCACGAATGACACTCTCCCCTCACCTGGGGCTTCGATACGCCTTCGCAAGTTAGGGCGTCGGCCTCGGACATAGATTGGGTTGGCTATACAGGGAGGGCAAGACCGACTCTGTTGGGGTTTTAAAACTCCCCATCACAGCGACGCAAGCGGACCGTTCTCTACTTTAACGGGATCGGCAGCGGCTGGACTCTGTAGAGTCCGGCCACTTGATTGAGTGTGATTATTTCGTTTGTAGAATTATGTAAATGAAGCGTTGCCCCGTACGCTGATAGAGCAGCCCAAGATCGTGACTGTCCAATCTATTGCTTGATGTTGAGGCTCTGTCAGGTTACTGAGGATAGGAGGAGCATTGATATTGGCATGGAAGCCTTACAGTTGAAGGCGAGTAAATAACGCGGGAACACGTTAGAGCCGAGTGATTGTCAGAGCGAGCTCGCTGACAGCAGAAAACCGAAATCCGGTCCTTTTTGATGACTGAGTATTCGGAGCATCTTTCCAGCGGTTTGTTGAAAACCGACGATCAACTTTTTTCCTGGTTGACCGCCAAGGTTACTGGCTGTCTGGTCCAAGTGGGATGACCTGGCAATGGACGGATATCGAATGCAAAGAGCACAACGACCCTTACTGGTTGGCAGATAGCGATGGACTTGAGAAAGGGGCAGCCCACAGCGGGAGAAGTGGTCTAGAGCCGGGCCGGGGATTGTGTCCTCCACTAACATCTGGGGTAAAAGACCCCATCGGCAGCGGCACCAATTTGGCGGGGTACGTTGTTCCCCCAATATACTGTGGTGCTTGGTTGGCAGCTGGGGGGAGCTTTCGAATTCCCCGGTGAGCCTCGGTTCGGTCCCCAATTCAAGCTAGAGCTCCCTCGGCCTCCGCATCGTCATTTCTCCTCCTCCCGCTCCCTGCTCGTCCTGTTCCTCCGCATTTTAAATCAATCTTTAACATATCTGTACAGCCTGCGCCGCATATTTGCATTGCCATTTAATCATTGTATCCAAATAAGCTGCCCGCCTTGTTTCCCCGTCTTCTTTCGTGTAAATTAGTTCTTTCCTGGCTGAATTGACCTCATTTATCCATCAATCGAAACCCCATCATCACCATCAGCAGCACCACCACCATGTCGGACAAGGCGTCGGAACGGCTTCAGGCTCTGGGCAAGCAGCTCGATGCCCCTCCTCCTGTCAAGATTGCCGGGCCATCTGCGGCGCCTCGTGTACCTGGCAAGGTCGTGATTATTACAGGTTAGTCGAACGCACGTCACGCAGCAGCGGCGGCGGTGGCAGCAGTAGACAGACTGACAATCGAACCCCAGGCGCAAACTCTCTCATGGGTATCGGTCGCGCGTCAGCACATCAATTCGCCGAGAACGGCGCCCGCGCCATCTACATTTGCGATTACGCCGACGACAACCTCGCCTCTCACAAGAAGGAGCTCAATAAGCTGTACCCCAAGGTCGAGGTCCACACCCGCCAATTCGACGCTGCCGAGGAGAGCGCCGTCAAGGAGGTCGTTGCCCACGCCATGACAACGTACGGCAGACTGGATATCTTCTTCGCCAATGCCGGTATTACCGGTCCTCATAACCTGTTTACCGATATCTCGTCGGATGACTTTATGCAGAACCTGCGGACGAATACGTTGAGGTGAGTGTACCTACTTGCCTCTGACACCTCTTGTGCTAACAAAAAAACAACGACAGCGTCTTCCTTGCCGCCAAGCACTCCGCCCCCGCCATGCGCAAGACCTCGGCAGACAAGCCCACCCCGGGCGGCAGCGTCATCCTCACCGCCTCCGTAGCCGGCATCCGCTCCAACGCCGGCACGACGCCGTACTCGGCGGCCAAAGCGGCCGTCATCTCCGTCGCGCAGACGTGCGCGTACCAGGCGGCCGGCACGAACGTCCGCGTCAACGCCATCTGCCCGGGCCTCATCGAGACGGGCATGACGTCGCAGATGTGGGACCAGGCGCGCGCCCGCGGCACGACGGGTCGGATCGGGCAGATCAACCCGATGAAGCGCGGCGGGCACGCCGACGAGATTGCGCGGGTGGCGCTGTTCTTGGGCAGCGACGAGAGCAGCTACGTCAACGGGCAGGCGTGGGCTGTCGATGGCGGGTTGAGCGCGGGACATCCGTACGTAGTTGGGAAGCTTGCGTGATGTGTGAGTGAGAGAGAGGGAGAGAGAGAGACAGAGAGGGAGAGCGGCGTTGGCCGAACTGCGTAGTGGTCAACAAAATTCTTTTGTGTCTTTTGCCAAGTCTTTTTCTCTTCGGGATGTGTACTTACTTACCGATGTGGGCGATAGGCACTTGTTTGAATACATCATTTCTCCCGAGGGCAAGTTTGAAGGAATCGTGCCTGCTTAGACATGTGAAGCACGTCAAGGAACAGGCGATCCAAGAGGGGGCTGGGCCTTGGAGGGGGTCAAAAGGTGGGCGAAAGGTGGACAGAGATGGTGGGCGGCCGAGGTTATCTCTGGCCGGCTTCTGGGGCCGGCCGCACAGATTGGAAGGAGGTTAAAGTAATGTGGGCGAGTTCCCAGGTTCTTTCAGAGCTCTAGATTCTCCAAGGTGGACTTTCGGTGAAGGAAGCTCGCCGCTCCTGTGAAGTCATTGGGCCTGGAAGCACGTCCAGAGTTCGAACTGGAGAAGGAAGGGGGGAGCAGAGTCGCATTGACTCCTCTTCGATCAACGGGGAGCATTGAATCGTTGATAGGGATCTCCAATAAGCTTGAACGGGTTCGGACGCCATTACCACTTTCCATCCTCGATGCCCATCTTCCGGATTCCTCTTTTGTGGATAGGCCGGACGGAATCCATATCACGATCACGCAAGCCATACAGATTACAGACTACTGTACATCTAGACTACGGGTATTATCCACCATATTCACCCAAGGCCCAAGGTAGGCAGGCCAGGAGAACTAGCTGCCGTCTCCGCATCGCCATACAACGTCGTTCATTACATTCACTGCCGTTCTCATTCGCCCATGACGCGGCCGCCATTGATTGCAAATCCCACTTTTCAAGGGTTGGTGCTAGGGGGACGGACAGCATTCAAGCATAAGTGGCTTTGAGGTGCGGATGCTTTCTGCATGCCACCGGAGGCTCATCGACGGCCGGCTCCACAACCATAACTACCGGGAATCGCAACCATTCCGAAGTAGTCGTTTAATACTGCAGTATGCTTGGTCAGGCTGGAGTCGCTGGATTCCTGGACTTTGCCTTACCTCCTCAAAGCTCCGAAAGATGAAACCCACCCAAATTGGATCTCCAGGCACGTCTGTACGCCTTTGGTCAAGAGATCTCTTGGCAGAGTGTCGGGCCGCGTCATGGGGAAAAAGGGAGCACTATCCTCCTTCCTCCTTGATCCAAACGTATCCTCCTGTTCGTGGTTTGGTTCCATCTGCAGGAGTCGAGAAGGGAGTGTCACTGTTCTTTTGTTTGTGGCCCTAGGAGTTTTCGGCCGAGCCACGTAACCACTTCCCGGCCGTTGCCCACATCCCGGATACGCCATCCCAAACCGCCGCTCCCCGGGGGTTTCCCAAAGGACCCCCACTCACACCCCGATCCCCGTACCACCGTACCTTGACAATTGAACCACACACTCACATTGCGGAACGGGAGAAGAGAACCAGGACCGTCGCATTTTTTTGTGTTTTTGCCAAATGACCCAACGCAATGCAATTGGAATTGCCTCTGCCTTGATTGGATGACGCATGTCTTGGACGTCCGAATAACCCCCCGACCCTTGCGACCATCGGCCGTTCGCGCTTCCTAGCTCGTCACTCGCAGAAAAGCCGCCATTCTCTGGTCTCTATTAACCTTACACAGTAGGTAGTGTAAATCCCCTGGCTCCGCGGTGCGCGCGGAGTGGCGGACCTCCAGGTTTTCAAGTAAGGTACTATGTAGTATCCTTGTAAGCGCTCCGGGGGGGAGGAGGAGTAGGAACCAACTCGATCCCAAACCACATCCCCCAACTACAGAGTACCTTGCTTGAGGCTAAACCATACAGTGGCTCCGAACGACATTGTCACGCCCCTCATACGCCGGTCGAAACGACTCTGGGAGGGAAGGTGACGACGATGTCTCGCCAGGCGCCCGCGCGCGGGAGTGTGGGGAACGCCAACGAGACGGAGAGAGAGAGAGAGAGAGACGAGAGTCTTTACTTGGTACGGAATGTAGTTGCTTTTGCGTGCTCCGTGCTCGACTTGTCGTGCCGGGATACGGTGTTGGCCGGTGGGTTAGCTCTGCTGTTCGAGACCAGATGAAGGGGAGCAGAGAGAGTAGGGTATGTTGCAATGCCGTGACAATGCCAAGATGTTGACGTTAACGGGATCATCAGGATCAGGAAGGAGGAAACAAGATGGATCATAGAAACGCCAAGAAGAAGAATGATATAAGAGGAGGTCAAGATTCCTGCCAGAAAGACGAAATATCTCTCCTTCTTCTCACCAGGCTCTTCACCTTCATCAGTCCTTCTCTTCTTCCAGCTTGCTCCTGACACTTCTGTGGTCTGCTTCACTCGATAGCAACCCCTCGTCGTCTCGTCCTTGAATATCCAGAGATTCATCACCATGGCGCTCCGCTCCGCCCTCGCCGCGGCCCTGGCCCTCTCCCCCTTCATTGGGACAGTCGCAGCCCATGGCAGCCACACGACCGACGAGATTGCCGCAGAGATCGCCCTCCGCGACGTCGTCACTGTCCACGGCAAGCGCGCCCTGGACGCCTGCTCCAACTCCCCTGCCGCCCTGGCCCTCAAGCAGCGCGCCCTCGAGCGCCGCGCCAACATGGCCCAGATGCTCCGCGAGAAGCGTGGCCTCACCGATCAGAAGATGCACCAGAAGCGCACCCAGGCCGACCTCGTCAAGTGGGCCGCCGTCGACCACGAGTCCACCGAGGCCTACAACCTCGACACCCCTCTCGAGGACATCTTTGGTTCCAACGCCACCTGCGCCCTCGTTCCCTTGACCACCATCGGCCCTTACTACGTCGAGGGCGAGCTCATCCGCGTCGACACCACCGACGGCCAGGCCGGCGTCCCCGTCCACCTCGACATTCAGTTCGTCGACATCAACGACTGCACCGCCGTCCCCGAGCAAATCATTGACGCCTGGGCCTGCAACGCCACCGGCGTCTACTCGGGCGTCTCCGCCCGGGGCCAAGGCGGCCTCAACACCACCCACGGCCGCGGCGTCCAGAAGTCCGACTCGGACGGCGTCGTCCAGTTCGACTACGTCTTCCCGGGCCACTACACCGGCCGCGCCACCCACATCCACATCATGTCCACCGACGGCGCCACCATCCTCCCCAACGGCACCTTCGAGGGCGGCACCGCCCGCAACATTGGCCAGCTCTTCTTCGACCAGGATCTCATCTCCGAGGTCGAGACCCTGGCCCCCTACACCAGCAACACCCAGACCCTCACGACCAACCTCCAGGACGGCATCGCCGCCGGCGAGGCCACCGCCGCCTACGACCCCTTCCTCAAGTACGTCCGCCTCGGCGAGGACCTCAACGACGGCCTCCTCATGTGGATCACCATCGGCATCGACACCACGGCCGACTACAGCGACGAGGTCCGCGCCGCGGCGCACTACTACGAGGGCGGCGGCGTCGACCAGAGCAGCGGCGGCGACGGCCCCGGTGGCCCTCCTCCCAATGGTACCTTTCCTACCGGTGCTCCCCCGGGTGCCCCGCCCACCTCTACCCCGTCTGCTTGAAAAAAAAAGCACGCTGACATTTGTTGGTGATGAAGCTTAGAGCTTGGGCTACCTAAGATGAGGGCAGACGGTTTCTAGGCTTCTAGAACCGGCCCTCCCCTTGATTTGACGGCGAGATGTGTGTGTGTTGGTATATAGGAGGAAAAGAGTTGTGTACATGAGTGTTGTGCGAAAGTTGTACAAAGTTCTTTTCTGGTGGGAAAAAAGCTTCATACCGACGACCAGGGGCTGTTTGTGTTTAGTTCAGGAATAGTAAACGAAAATTCTGAAATACATATTACATTCGTACATAAATCAACTTGTTTTCCTATATCGGTGAAATGGCAGCAGCAGCGGCACAAGTTTGGATCATCTTATGGGCTGGGCTGAGACGTTTCTCTAGGAGATTAAAACCAAAGGAAATGGCTGCGAGTGGAACTTCTATTGTCTCAAGTAAATAATTATTGACCAAGTACTAGTCTCACGACCGTACATCGCCAGTGAAAATGCAAGAGAAAGGAAATGTGAAATGTGAAATTCAGAAGCAGTTTGTAATTATATATTCCGAAAGTGTGAGGAAGTCCAATAAGCCTGAGGAAGAGGACTGTTCAAATAAAATCAGACTTCGGCGCTATCGGCAGCGGGGACGGGGATCGCCGCCGCTATCACGGGCCGCCGATTAACCCCCGCATCGGCCCCACCAACAGAAAACATCCCCCCGCCATGACGTCCCCGCCGTTCTATCAATCCAGAACAATTAATATGACCCCTTCAAACAAATTCACCACCAACGACTATTTCTGACGAGGAGGGAAAATATCTCATTCACTCTCAAATTGTCTCACAAAATCTCACATTACTCTCACCGAAAATGGCGACTTCCAGCATGCACTACGCCCACTGCGGCGCAAACGACGGCTGCAAGCTCGCCTTTCAGTCCTCTCTGCCCCTCACCGGCGCCAGCTCCGCAACCCGCTGCATCCTCCTCATGCACGGCTTCAGCGGCTCTTCAGAATACTTCTACCGCAACTCCGATGCCCTCGCCTCCAAGGACACTTGGGTCGTCGCGCCCGACATGCGCGGCCACGGCGAATCGGACCGCACAAAGGGCGGCTACCACGTCGCCCGCCTGGCCGCCGACCTCCGCGACCTAATCCACCACCTACGGCGCGCCGCCGCCTCGCCCGACCTCAAGATCGTGCCCGTCGGCTGCTCCATCGGCGCCGCGGTGCTCTGGACGTACGTCGAGCTCTTCGGGTGCGCGGATTTCGCGGGGTTCGTGTTCGTCGACCAGGCGCCGCTGCAGGATCGGTCCACGTTTGACGGGTGGGACGAGAGCTTGGCGCACACGGGCTGCTACGACGAGAAGAGCATGCTCGGCGCGCAGAAGTTCTGGATGGAGGAGTCGGCGGCGGCGCATGTCGATCTCGTGGACGGGTGTCTTGGGTACCGCGCGAAGCCTGACCCGGCGACGGACGATGTTTCTGCCGAGGTGAGGAGGAAGGATGAGGAGTTCTTCACGGGGATTAGTGCGTTGTGCGATCAGGCGTGGCTTGCGAGGTTGTTGGCTGATCATACGCGGTACGACCACCGCGAGGCGATTGAGATGATTAGCGTGCCGACGTTGGTGATGGCGGGGCGGAAGTCTGGGTGCTTCCCGCTTGAGGGGATGCTTGAGACGGTCAGGAGGGTGGAGAAGGGCCGGCCAGGTTTGGCGAAGTCGTCTGTCTTTGAGGCTGGACATTGGTTGTTTTATGAGCAGCCTGAGAGGTTTAACAAGGAGATTGCGGAGTTTGTGGAGTTGTGCACCAAATAAGGTGGTTACAAGCAGGCTGAGGAATGGATTAGTATATCAGATGTTGGACTATTACAGATAGACTGAATGGTTCTGGACAGCAGGGTGAAGTGAGCTTGAAGGCATTTGGGTATGCAAATCGAATTCAAGAATACCAAATTCTAACGACCAAAAGATTACCTATGCTGTTATCATATACCCCTCATGCCTTGCCCCAATTTCCATGCAACCCGTCTATGTACCAATATGATGCAGATCATCCAGGTATCACCCAAACTCTATATTATTTACCATATCCGCCACGTATCACCCGTGAAATAAAGCAGTCGGCCCTTCTCTAGGTGTTTAGAGTTCTTCCTAGATGCTGAGAAGCTGAACATCAGCACACCCAAGAAGTGTCCTCTGCCCAGCCTTCTTGAAGCTCAGCACAACGCTGTCGTTTCTAGGACATGCCATCCAGAATCCGTCCTCAAACTGCAGACTGCCATCGACGACTCCGACGCCAGACGTTCCAGCCCCGCACTGCAGCTGGACGGTGTTCAAGCTTGGCACCGTCGCCGTTCCGCCGGGTGTGACGATCAACCCGGCCGAAGGGGAAGAGTCATCACCCGAGAGGTGGGCGACGTTGACCGTGTTTCCAGTGGCGTAGAACTCGGCGCCCTGGCCGGCTGGTCCGAAGACGATGTTGGCTGTGCAGTCTGCTGTTGAGATGTAGGTGAGCTCTTGGCCCTGGATGGAGGGCGTGAGGTCGAAGTTAGTTACGTTTGCGGCGAGGCGGAAGGTGGTTGTGGTTTGTCTGACGGGAAGACTGGCTGCCGTTGCCACTGCGGCGAGGAGGGTTGTCTGGATAAGTGTTTGGGCGAACATTTTGATAAGTTGTTGAGTGAGAAGAGGAAAGTTGTGGTTGATAATGTTTTATAAGATAGTTGGTTGGTCTCGTATGTGAGTCTGAATCTGATTGAGAGCCTCCATCACGGCAATTTCATTGGGTTTATATGTGAGTTGAACTCGGATCATAGTTCAGTATTCTTGATGCAACGTTTCTCATCGTGGCGGTACTAAACTAGTCCCTGCCTCATGACACTCTTCACCTCGGATCCTTCAAGACGTTCTATTTCCGTGAATTTATGTCATGAGCCGCTCGCTAGAGCAGTGCCTCTTTAGCTCTGCGCTGATCTTTGGGGCTTGGCGATTCTAGTGCTTAGGGACGTGGCTGCCGGCGATCCGGGGTGAGACGGGATCGCCGCCGGCGCCCCACTCTCCCGTCCGCTCCGAGCGCGGGGTACCGGCCGTCCTGTCATGGAGACGGGGAATTGGAGTTTTTCGCCCAAAGACGACAGTTCGTCCTTTGACACTATTTCCCACATTGCGATTTCGTCGGCGCGTACGTCTCAGGCGCCGCTCACTTGTGTCATAGCGCTGCAGTGACTTTCACACGACCTGAGCCAAAGTAAGCAGGTGTCCATTGAGCCTGATTACTGCCTTTTTCTGGGTTTCTGACCTTCTTTCCATCTTGGTAGACCGGAGGAATCGGGCTGAAGGCGATGCCTCGTATTCTGAACCAGGCAGGTAAGACACCCTCTTGACGCAGTGGCGCACATCAAACGTGCGTCTTGAACGGATTTCTGACATCAACGCAGCATGGTAAAGATGAGAACAAGAACTAGTATCGCCCACAGACCGATCTTCGTGCTGACAAGTGCCACCAGCAACACCTGCCGCGTCCGCAAGGTCAAATGTAAGCAAATATCCACCCTGACACCATGGAAAGAGCTCCTTTGACCAATACGAGATTACTCAGGCGACGAGGCCCTGCCAGCGTGCCAACGTTGCCGCAAGGCTCAGCGATACTGTGACCGCACCACCCCGCTCCCACAACTCAAAAAGAGCCAGCAGGATACAGAAGAGCCCGACTCCGCTGGTGAGTATCTCCTATGCGTACCTCACTGTTCTTGATCCTGCACACGTTGTAGCCGCTCACATACATCCCTTAAAGCAGACGAACCGCAAACTCCTTTCCCATCACCATCCAACCCCCGCAAAGCCCTCCAGAACCCGTCCATAGCACGCTACTTTTTCCACTACATCGCCGACATCGCACCGTGGTACGACCTCAGCGATGCGTTCCCTACCTTTGGCACAAGCCTTCCCGAGGCCGCCCTCGATAGCCCGCTGCCCTTCGCCGCCATCTTGGCACTGTCCGCGGTCCACACAAGCAGAACGACTGTACCGTCCGCCAGGGCGGCGGCGGAGTTCTACCACGGGCACTGCATTCGTTTGCTGATTAACATGGCAGCGGAGGTGTACGACAATGATGAGCGAACGCAGGGGCTTGCGCTAGCTTCTGTTTGTCTCTTGCGGTCGTATGAGATTTTGAGTGGTGAGATCCTGTCGTCTTCCGGTCACTACTTTTACGCACCTTGTAGACACTTTGGCATGGTTATTGCATGAACTGACATCAAAGCAGAAGAGGTAGACCCAAACAGGCACCTCCAGGGAGCATCTTCACTGGCAGCCTATCATACCCCTCAAACTGACGCCTTTAGGTCTAGCCTTCGAGCAGCAGGCTTCTGGAACTATCTTCGTGAGGACATCACCTTTAGCTTATTCCGCAGATGCCCGCTCAAGATAGACCTTGCTCAGGTGCCCCTAGCCCTACCGGCGTCTGATTCAAGAACCGATCAGGACTACCTTAGTGCCGTTACTCTCATTCTAGGCCGCATCATCAATACATGCTTCAAAGGCTCGGGTTCTGTCACGGAGGAGTCGTGGTCTAGCCTTTCTCATCTGTTACGTGAATGGCGTAAAAGTCTACCGTCACAGTTTGAACCCTTTTCCACGGTTGAACGCGGTCTGGGCCTCGCCTTGCCATCCATTTGGCTGCTCAGAGATCATCATGGTAGGCCTTTATATCTTAGAACACCCTTGTCTTGTGACTGAATAAGAATCTAGCGGCGGCCCTTCACTACCAGCTTGTCGCCACTACGATACTCTGTATCCATGCAAGCCCGCAACAATTATCAAGTCTTCAAAACACACTAGACGGCCGAGACGGCCGTCAAGACACAAAAGACGATATCCTCGAGCACCTCGCCCTCGATGTCTGCGGCGTGACCTTCACCGCCAACACGCCCTCGGTTCAAGTCAATGCCTTTGGCCCCATTGCATTCTGTAAGCCTCTTACATCCATCCTTTCATTTGACAACACTTCCTGCTGCATTTTTTAAACCAACAACTGAAAAGACTTCGACAGGCGCACGATTCATCAGAAGAGAAGCCTCGCGACAGGAGCTGATCCGCCGCCTCTTGGCGTGTAAGCGAACAATCGGCTGGCCCGTCCAGAGACTCGTCTCGGAGCTGGAGACGGAGTGGAGGAATCCGCCGCCGCCGGAACAAGCAGACAACGAATGAGGAGGCGGATATTAATCGAAGAATGGTCAGTCGTAGCTTGCTGTGTAGAGGGGTGTGGGCTAGCGTACCCCGAGCTCGGATTTGGGGGGAAATCTGGGGAAACCTAGTAGCTAGGTGGTCCGGGGTGGATGGGGCATGCACGTTTTGTCATCCAAACCCGAGCTCGGCATTGGGGTAGAGAACCTCTTCTTAAGCCTCCTCCCTTCGAGATATAAATGCATAAGAAATCTCTGGAATCTCCCATCAATTTCACTAAACGTATCCGTCTACCCATAAATATCCTTCTCAAGCCATGAAAATAATCTCCTCCCCAACGATGCTCCTCCGTTCACGCCTCCCTTTCTTGACCTCAAATGCCCCCTCTCGTCTACGCTTCCCTATCACCAGTCGAACAATGGCCTCACTTACAACAAACACTCACGACCACGAAACCCTCCCATCAACACCAGCAACAATACACCCCTCGCATTCTGAACTTGCTAGTGCTCGCCTCTCCCCGCGCAACCTCGAACTCGCCGTCCGCCACCTCCACAGAGACGGCCTCGTCGTCGTCTCCGACGTCGTCCCGCACGCAGACCTCGACGCCCTCAACGCCAAAATGGTCCAAGACGCGCTCTACCTCCGGTCCCTCGGCGACAAGGGGCCCTTCAACTATAACCTGGGCAACTTGCAACAAGATCCGCCTCCCGTGGCCGAGTACTTTCACAAGTCCATCTTCGCAAGTTGAGTTCATTCCACATCCTCCTCGTGTCTCTATACAGACAAACTCACAACCAAAACAACAGACGCCATAGCAACGCAAATAACCTCCTCCCTCCTAGGCCCGCGCCCAAAATGGACCTTTTGCTCCGCAAACTCGGCCATGCCGCCCTCACCAGACTCCAAACCACAACGCCAGCCAGTCCACTCCGACGCAGATTTCGCCCACCCATCCCACCCCTTCGCCCTCGTAATCAACATTCCCCTCGTGGAAATGACACCCTGCAACGGCTCAACGGAGCTCTGGCTCGGCACCCACGCTCCCCATCTCCTGCCCGCCTCTCCATCTTCACCCTCATCCTCATCCACCACCACAACACCCTCCTCAAGCTACGCCGGCACCATAATCCCCTCCGGCATAGCAGCCCAGCAAGGCACCCACGGCACCCGCGCAAGCGGCCGCATCAACCCCCAACTCCTCGACCTCCGCCGCGCCGTCCGCCCGCCCTCGCAGCCGACGGTGGAAAAGGGGAGCATCGTCATCCGCGACCTGCGGCTGTGGCACGCGGGGATGCCGAATGCCAAGCCCGACGTGCGCGTCATGCTGGCCATGATTCATTTTGCTGGGTGGTACCGGAACCCGATGCGGTTGCAGTTTGCGGAAGACGTGAGGCCTTTGCTGGAGGGGGACGGGGAGGCGACGGGGAGGGATGATTTGGAGATACCTGTGGATTGGACGACGAGGGAGGAGGCTTTGAGGACGTATCTGGGGAGGGGGTTTGGGAATAGCTACGATTTTAATCAGGAAGAGTGAGTAACGAGAGTAGATTGCGTATGATGGTGACTTTGGAACAGACTAAACGGTTTCAACTAATCAAAGATATTGCATTTTGCATTGGGGACCTTGAACAAAGATGGCATATTGCCAACTCCGCAGTGTGAGTCTTGCCACTGATGTAAACACCAACCAAATATCCACACATTCCACACGTTTAGACGATTCATTTGATTGCTAACTGAAAGCTACTGACAACCACGGATTGTGGTATCGGTCCCACGCTTTCCCCCCTTTTCCGCTCAGTTCCGACCTCCGCTTGAGAGGTACCCATTCTGACTAGCAATGGCATCATGATAATTGGAAAAACGCAAGAGAAGAAAGCCCTCAAATACATGTCTCTCACCACCACACAACTCAACTAGGCAAGCCACTGGTGTATGAGTGAGGTATTGCGAAGGGCGTGAGAGCAGAGCAGAACAAAGAAAACATGGTATAGTAATCCTCTCCTCGGCGAATTCTCCGTGGCCGATGACGAAGGAGACCGAGCTGGCTTTTCCACGCCGAAAAGATGGGAAAAAGGAAAAAAATGATTAATCGGAAAAGGTTGAGAGGGGGTATAATAGGAAAGACCCGTTTTCCGCCGAACCTCGCATCCATTTTGTCGCGAGAAGAAACAAAGGAAATCCTACAGCCTTCATCCGTTGAACTCAGTATCGAAAGAGAGAGATCCGTTGAGACTCAACGCTCAGGAGGAGTCCCATAATCTGGCGGCCATCGCTCAGCGAATGCCCGTTGACCGAAAATGTAAAGGGCGATCAAAGCCGCGAGGTGCTGCTTCCCGTCTTGGTCGCCTAGAAAAAACTCGGCTTCGTGAGTACACGATACTCGACATAATCCTCTCCGTCAATACTGATAATGGTGCCTTGCGAGACGAGTTTGCCGACAAAGGGGCCGTTGGTCTTGCGCTCGTACTTGATACCGCCGTAAAACTTGGTTTCTTCACCTCCAACCTTGCTGCGGTGCTCTTCTTGGCTAGCCCATACCTTGTTCAGGCGCTGCATCTCGTCGCGCTCGTGGAACAGGCTACTCATGCGGGGGCCGTTGCCGTTGCCGTTCTGCAAAGGCATCTTAGGCATAGCTTGAGGCGGCATTGGAGGAGGGACTAAGTTGGCCATGTGGGCGGCTTGAGCAACCTGGGCAGCTTGAGCAGCTTGGGCGTTCTGAGCAGCTTCGCGGTCAGCGGCGAAACGCTCGGTTCGAATCTGGGCGGCCTCGATCCGGGCGATTTCGCGACGTGCACTGGCGTCAATCTTATTCTGCGCTTGTACAGGGGTTCGTGATGACTGTCTGACGTCGAGATCGGGCAATGAGTGCCGAACGCCGCGGTTCTCCGTTCTGCGGCTCTGGCGCAGTTCGGGGTTCACCTCGACCTTGGTCTCGGGTGCCTCGAGCATCTCTTCTGGCTGTGGAACAATGGCGGGTGGCGGGCCCATATTGTTCATGTAACCAGGCTTATTGATGCCATTTGCCACGCGCTGCTGTGCCTCGTACACTGCCCTGGCCTCATTCTCGACTCGCTCGTTGGGGCTCTCGCCTTGATCGATTTGGTACTGACGGACACGACAATACTCCTTCACCTCGGGGCGAGACAGGACTTTAATGTGTGGCTCCAGCTCGACCTCCTCCCAGTGAATCCACAGCGCACCCGCTCCAACGGGAAAGTTGCCATCGACGAAGCGCTTATCACGCGTCTCTCGCGCCACCTTGACGCGGAACATGTCATTTTGTCCGAGGATGCCGTAGATCGCGTGCTTGTTGATAGGATCAGGCTCACTGGAGCCCTTCCAGTAGCCCACAATGATGCGTGTGGGTCTGGTACCTGGCAGAGGGTCGAATTGAGGAGTCGGCGGGATGTTTTGTGCTGGCGGCGTCTGCTGTACCGGGCCTCCACTGATCGTGCCGATGCCACTACCAGTGCGGCGACGTTTGGAGTCCGGCCGAGCCGGCATTGTAGCGTGGTCGGGAATCACCGCACCGTATGCGATGGCTGGCGCTACGGGATTCTCGGGGGGAGGGTTTTCCTCGACACGCCGGACCGCTTCCTTAGCCGCAGCTTGCTCTGCAGCATCTCGGGCCTCCTCCGTCATCTCGATAGAATCCGTTCGAAGCTTGACATATTCCTTCACTTGGTGGTGATCCAGACCAACAAGGTGGTCTGCGAAGACGACCCGCTCGAAGGTCACCCAGCTGCCACCTGGTCCGGGCGGGAGGGGATACTCGAGACTCGATACCGGCTCGCCGAAGCGGGTGTTCTGCTGAATGCGAGTGCGGAGGCGATCGCGGACATCGATGAAGCCAATAACTGCATGCTTGCCTCTGGGGTCAGGCACGGGTGAATCGCGCCAATATCCGAGAATGACGCCCTTCACACCACCCAGTCCATGCCTACGAGCTGGTTTGGTGCCGCGTGGCGTGCCTTCCTTCTCTGAGACAAGGCTGCTCTCCATCTTGTCTTCACTCAAGTCATTGAAAACGGACGCGCGCTTCCGCTTAGGATAGTGAGAGACGACTGGCTCATCCTCAACATCCGCCATATTCTCATCCTCGGGATCAGAAACAACGCGGAGTGGCGATGACTTTTGCACGCCATTGCGGTTACCGACAACAATCTCATCTTCCAAAGCGCGATCATGGCTGCCTGAGACAGGGCTCAAGTTCTCTGGAGGCGGGCTTAGATCATCATCATTGGCGGTGTCGTCGTCATCCAGAGCAGGTGGCTTAACCCCATTGGCACTGCTGAGCCTGTAATTGGTATCAGTATATGCTTGTTCACAATTGAGTTTGTTGCATTCCAGGATGTGTTGCAATGTTGCCCAAATGGGTGCACTTGCAACCCTGATGAGGTCTTTGCCAACCAAGGTGGTGACGCTCGGCCATGGTGGCTGTAACTGAGAAAACCCCAGCTGATTCGGAGAGAGACAGAAAGAAAAGCATCGCCGGTGAGGAAGCAACAGCGCAAGACCAAGAAATGCAGACGATTCGAGTTGAGCAGGGGTAGAAAGCCATCCAAAGCGGATGTTGTATGCGTACATGAATCGGGAACACTTGTCCCTGACTCGACATGCGCCTCTTGGCAACTCGCCAGTTGCCCTCTTGACCAAGGCAAGCAAACCGGGCGCATGCATTGAACTTTGAAAGGTGCCAAAAATACATTGAAACTCTGAGTCGCAAAGAGAGAGTGAAGAACCAAGGAACTCGGATGGGGGAGTTGAGAGTCTCAATGGAATGCGACGCACCTTCTTTCCTCCTTAATGGGTACAGAGGGCTCTTCTGGAGTACTCTTGAGGCGGGAGTCTCGTCGAAACGGCATTCTGAGAGTTTCGCAGGAGGTGAGAACAAAGACAGAGTATTTGCGGCGCACAATCAAGGAAACCAATGCTCAACGAGGCTGTGAAATGAAAACAGATGATATGAGAGACCGTGTATGCCGGCGACGAGGCACAAGAGTTGATGGAAGGAAAGTGATCTGGTTGATTGATGGGAAGAGAGGTGCGGTTGAATCAAGGGAGGGGTCGGTGCTGGTTGTAGTGGAAGGGGGAATGACGAGAGGGAACTCTGGCGGCCTTACAACCTAGCTTAGTGGCCGAAGCTAGAAGCGCCGTCAGACGCAGTGTCAGGGAGGGAAGGAGAGGAGTTTCCGTGCAGCCACAACACTTAGAAGGAAGTGAAGGTAAAGTAAGGTAGGTGCGGGCTGCGAAATAGAAAAATGAAGCAAGAAGTTGAGTTGAGAGCTGTGATGGATCGCAGGCAAGTCCAAGTCCAAGGTGAAGTCGAAATCGACCCAGTGTATGACTTCACCACTGGTCATAGCGCGTGGTTCTTGTACAGGAGAGCAATTGAAGAAGGAAATATCAAGTGGCAACAACTTCAAATGCAGCTAGCAATAACAGAGGAGAGAGAGAGAGAGAGAGAGAGGCGGTAAAAGAGACAAAGAGATGACTTACTCTGTGGTTGTAGGGGTCTCGGCAACTGGGGTCTGTTGCTGCGGCTCTGAAGGCGCAACTGACGGCTGCTTTGTTTCGACCTCGGTGGTGGTCTCCATCGCGGTTGGTTTCTCGCGAGTTTGTGTTGCGACCGGGTGACTCGAGCCGATTGTCTGGCGGTAAATATTGATGTGGTCGCCACAAATCAAGTGAACCCCCGGAGTTGTCGAAAATTGGACGACAAAGACTCGCGGTTCAGGTTGGCTCTTTGGATAAGAAGAAGAAGTGTTTGCTTTGATGGGTAACTTGGCGGCTAAGGTGATTTTGGATGGAAATGCGTTGGGACGTGTGGTTGTAAGAAGACAAGAGCTAAGGCTAAGGGCCTAAGAGGAGGGATCGGTGGTTTGGTTTGATTTGAGTGACGGCTCCAAATGATCGGTGGACGCGGTTCGTGTTTGAGGCCAAGATTGAATGTGACCGGGAAAGGTGGAGACGGGGAGGTGTAGACTGAGGTGGAGGAAGGTGTGTGTATCTGTACGGAGTATTCGTAAGGGGGGGAAGGAAAGAAAAGGTGAGTGTCAAGTAAGAGTGAGAGTGAGAGAGAGAGAGACTGAGTGAGTGAGTGAGTGCTGAGTACGTAGTATGAGTGGATGAAAAGTGAGAGGTGTACAAGGTATTAGATTCCACGCCTTTACCGCCTCGCCGTATTATGTCCAGTTTAGACTAAGAAGAAAGCAAAAAGCCAAGCCAAATGAGGCGAGAGTTCCAGTCATCAGTCGTCAGGCACCCCAGTCAGAATTTCTAGTCCAAGCAGGGTGTGTCGAGGTTGAGAGAGAGGTGGGCGAGAGGTAAAGCTACCTTACGCAGTAAAGTAAGGCAGAGACTGAGAGAGTGAGGTGAATACTGAACGGTACCTCAGGCTTGTGTCCCAGAGCACGGACGCTGACAGTTGAATGGCGCGGGAAACAGGATTCGGCGCCTTAAACGAGATGAAGGCGTATTTAGCGGAGAGAACTGCTGTTGTTGATGGGCGGAAACACCAGTGATCAATGT